GATCTTGGGGGGGGGGTGACCATATAAATATATATATATACATATACATATATATAAAAGAACAAAGAAAAGGCCGCTGCACAAATGTGAGGCCTGTGTATAAGTCAGGTCTTCAGCAAGTATTTCAGTTTTTGACACATTTTCATTTTCCGATATCCCCCGTCCCATGGGCCATCAGCCAGCTCCGGATCCTCTCCATGTTGACGCGCCTTGGCCTTGCCTGTGCTCAGCTGCCCCGTGACACGTGGCTCCGGATTGGTTCTCGGTAGCAGTGCTCAACAGCAAACAGCGACAGGTGTTGCCAGGGGCACGGCGCTATCCAGGTTCATGGGTCCTGCCGTTTCCTTTTTGCGTGGAATTTGCCAGTATGCTTTGGTTGACCAAACGAACCAAAAGCGAGCTTCGTCTTTCACCCCGCCCGCAAATGAAGCACACCTTGCGTTGACTCCGCCCATGCAATTGGACGTTCATGTCGTGGGCCTTAACTGCGGCAGGCAATGTCAGAACATGATTGAACGAAAGCTGTGGAAAACACACACACTTGGCAAGCATACTGTATGTCCGCTGGGTGCGGCATCAACATGATTGTTTCTTGTTGTTGTTCCGTTTGCGAGTGCCGATTCCATGAGTGGGTTGTCCATCATAAACGTGTCGGCCCACTGACGAGCGTAGAGCCCTTGCAGCATCGCGCCGCTGCTTGGATTTTGAATGAGGATTTCCATTAATGGCATTGACTCTCACCGTCTCTGACCCATTTAGGCACAGGCCGCTTGATGGAGGAGGCGCAAAATCGAAATTATGTCAGCTTGACTGGGGGATTATTGGCGTCATGTCGCCAGGCCGGGCCAGAAGAAGTAGCACGTTCTGCAACCGCGGAGATTTTCGAACCGGTCATCCAGGCTGGTGCCACACCGTTTTATTCAAACTAACAAATTGCATGTTGCCATGGCAGGGAAGATCTGGAAACTTCAATGAGGCCAGGAGTCGCTAGACATTGGTTTTGTGTTTCAATCGCTTCAATCGCCTTGGCAGGTGAAAGCAGATACGACGGACAAGCCAAAGGTTGGCGTAACAAGCAATGTTGATCTCAGGCGAAATGCCTCATGGTGAGGAGCTTGCTCCACAACCCACAGCGCCGAATGGAAAGCCAGGAAAACCTCGACAAGCACAGCAGCCAAGGCAACGCGGCTGCAAAAGAACAATTCCATGTCAGCAGAGCCCTCTACATGTATAGTTACAAGTTACAAACATTACGTATCACATTGCATCAGGCGATCCGACGTAGGAAGCCAAGGTATTCTGACAGCCGTGGAAGCACCAGAACGCAGGCTTGCCATTGAAATATGGATTTCCTCACTCTGCAGCCGTTTTGTTTGTATGCCAGGAACGTGATGCAGCTTCTCGGCCGACCACCGCACCAAGCAAGAGTTCTTCCAAGGCACTGTATCATTTCGCTATGGTGTTGAGTTTTGGTTGCTCCTCGGAATCTTTTTTGATGTTGTTTCAAGTTTCAAGCTAGCTTCAATGTCTTAACGTCTTAACGGGCCCTCGGGGGTGGGGGGCACGGTTAAGTTCTCTTTGACACTGTGTTTGGGGCTGGGCGCCTCACCCTGCACCCCCGCTTTTCGTCAAAATCGAAATTGTTACACGCACGGATACTCTGTGAGGTAAGCTTGCACAGCTTTGTAAAAGCGAAGAACCGCCGGACGACGGGAGGACCAAGCGGCCAGGGAATCACTAGACGATTACAATGTCAAGCCAAAACAACCTCGGCCAAACATGTAAAAAGAACTTTGGAGCAATGACCACGGCCCCTCAGCCCCAAAACTCCAAGTCCGCAAACCTTAAAACATCAAGCCGCTTCGAGCCTCTAAACCCGAGACCTTGCTCACCCATATCCCTAAAGCCTCAACCCAACAGAACACTGATCCCCGAATGTGGATCCCAAATGTGGGAGGCCCTTCTCAAAAGGACTGTTTAATTCCAACCTCCGCCTCGAAAGAACTACATCAGCTTCCAAGCTTCCAACTCTGGACCCCAGAACATACACCCTGAACCTCTTCAAAACCCACAAATCCGTCCTTGGAATCCTCAGCAGCCCTGAACCAGAAAAGCTCCGATTATTCCAGTACATTTGATTTTATTTTTCTGGAGATTGTGGTTTGGTGAGCTCTTTCTTGCTACGAATAAACCAAGAGTAAGCAAGGAAAGTAAATTCCTCTCAGGCCCGCTGCCTCCAGACATGCGCTACCCTAGCCGTATCTCGAGGCCAGCCGGAGCGTGCAAGAGAAATCTCGGTGGGTCCTGGGCCTGGATCAAGTTCCTCGCAAAAGGATAAAATGGCTAAAAGCATGGGCGGCAAGGTGGCGCCTGATTTTGTTTCGGTGTCCATGTTATCGCATCAAACTCAGTGGTCTTTGCACACACATGTGCTAGATTTCTGCAGGTTCCGCTACATAAGTAAGCGACAAGCAAATTGTGGTCTCGAGGCCGAACAATTTGGAGGAGCATCAACGAATTCAAGACGGCTGAAGCATTCTAATCATGGCAGTGCGCATACTTGTTCTGGATCGGAAAGGATGCTCTTGCTGAGCGTGCACTTGCGGAGCAGCCCTCACGCCAGAACATCGGATTAAGTGAGGCTGTGGCCAGGTGCCCAAGCATAAGCGAATAGCCTGAGGGAGGTCCCGACCCATGTGGCACTCTTTTGACCGAGGTGCGAGATGTGGTGAGCGTGACTATTCGGGACTTTGTGACAGCAGATGTTTATTTTGCTTCCATGCGGTCAGCATGTCATTTACTAGGACATCGTTGGCATTTTTGAATCATTGCTCGACCGTCTCTTGATCGAAAAGAAGACGGACTGACCTCGTTTGAATGCGCTTGTCGAAGGTGTGGCAGGCATTTGGCTTTTGTTGGGTTGACCAGGAGACAATTCGAAGCATGGTCGTTGCCCCAATGCAAACTTTGCACAGAAGCAGCATCAACTTCGTCTCTACTTTCCTGCCTGAGGTGGTGGAATTTATGACAGAAGATATTTCCGCAACCATCGCCGCTGGACAGGAAGAGTTGAAAGAGACCCGCACTCAGTGATGGCAAGGACAAAGGCTTTGGAGCAAAGCTAGTTCATGCGGTTCCTGAGGCAAGAGATTGGCCACGTGCTTCAGGAAATGCTTGCTTCTTTTCTCGAAACGAAGCCTTCCATGGAATTCAGATTCCAGGACGTGAGGGATCTGCGCAGCCAGGCCATGTCCCGTGTGCAAAACTTGCTGCAAGGCCAATGTCTAAGTCATGCGTCATGCATTGCTAAATTGCCAGATGAATGGGACGGAGCAAGCCTGGGAGCAGAGGCAAGGAGTGTGCAGTACACGAAGTATATGCCATGGAACTGCCCTTGAGGATGTTCGCTGTGATCAAATATCAGGTTTGATCAAGTCGGCGAACTGGAGCGAGCCCTCAACAGTTCCAATGCGGAGTCCAGCAATCGATTTGCTAGTCTCGAGGCTGTTGCATGCTTTTGGCATCGCTTAATGCGACAAATTCTGGGACGAGGCTCGCCTGCGTGAGCTGGAGGGCACGTCTGTTCGCCACAATGCGCTGGACCTGGTCCTCAAGGTGCGCATAATTTTGACGTCAGTAACAAAGCTGTGCTTTCACTTCCATGGTTGCAACCTCAGAATGCAAAGCCCAGGACATAGCGCAGGACAAGGAGAACAAAACAGCGGACATCAGCGAGCTGTTCGCTAAGGCAAGCGTTGCGCCTGCTGCAGTCTTTGAGTTTTTTCTACCTCCAGCACAAACACGCACCATGGAGAAGCATGACAGGCATGATATTGACAACACACTTCCTGGTTTTCAAGCAGTCAACATTGGCAACATTGGTATTAAGCGTCAATTCTTCAGACGCAGCTCCTCCTGCACCCAAGTAGCCCCATTGGTGGTGATGCTCCTTCCCAGATGCTTGTCCACAGCTGGTACGCGCTTTCCTTGTGAGCGGCAGGATGAGGATACGCAAAGGCATCTTGCAGAACTACAGCACGCCGTGTCATCCAGCTGTGTTCTAAGAGAGATGCCTGCAGGGGCCAAGTGTGCAGCGAATGGATCTTGTAGAAAAAATCGAGGCCTCGCCACGAAGAAAGAGCTGCACGAGGCACCGTGCCAAGCCCTGATTCCGAGCTTGATATGTGCAGTTTCCAGGCAACCCAGCAAGTGCTGGATGACATGCACCACTCGTCGGATGAAGTCACCGAGACTCTCAAGGTATGCGACCTGGTCTTGGCGCTGAGAGCACGCAAAAAAGTCACCACGAGGAGCTGCAGAGCAACGTCGCTTGGCGCACGGATGTCGAGGCTGCGGCATCAAGGGAGTAAGAGCGGGAGAACACCATGCCACGCTCAAGGACTTGGACTTGAGACAACGCCAAAAAGTGACGGCGGTGCTGTCCGAGGTGCACAAGGCCAGGGCTTACTAGGAAGTACACCAGCAAAGCATTGTTTTGTATTGTGATCGAGGCGCAGGAGGGACTCAAAGAGCCGGCCACCGAGAAGAAAATGTCATCAAAGTATCAGCTACATAGCCAATGCCCAGGTTGGGAGAGAGGTTCGACGCCGCGGAGTCCTCAGCAAAGGGATGGATTATGTACCGGCTCTTTCTTTCCATTTGGCTTCTGGCATGAGGCCCAGCAGCAAAACCACGAGGTGTTCGCCAGGAATGTTCAGGCCATGAAGCATTGGCTGGAGGATGCAGGCAAGAACAATGTTGGTACCAAAGGTGAGGGAGATGTTCTCACAGTACGGCGAGCTCATGGAGGCCAAACCAAGCCGATGAGCAGCTGAGAGCACAGAGAGGTATCATTCCAGCGGCAGGATCTTGAAAAGAGACTCACCGAAGAGCAACGGAAGTTGGACCAGCAGAAGGCCTTCTGAAATTCAAGAGTCAGAAGGTCCCTTCTCAAAAGCAAAGCCCGCCAACAACAACGGCATTCAAGGGTCTGTGTTCCATGCGTGGCAGGTGGAGAAACAGGACCTCCAAGATAAGATGTCTTCGGTTTACGGCCGCATGGAGGAGCTGAAGGTTGCCCATGGCCCTGATGGCAGTTTCAAGAGATCCACACGACAAAGACTGGCCGAGCCTTCAAGGCTGATGAGCACATCTCCAACGGGCTCCGGGAGTTGGCCGGGATGGCGCGAAGCATATCTCATCTCAATGGTTTAAAGTTTGAACTGATTTGCTACATGAATGACATGCCTGACTCACAGTGTTGAGTTGAAGGTCACTGACCTCCAGGCCCGGGCTTAATGGCAGTGCTTTGATCATGCATGGACGCCTGTTCTGGCTTTACTCCTATGCTTGCCTGTCCATTCATTTTCAAGATTGGCAGTACTCTTCCAGCACCATGTGCACATGGCCTCCCTCGCACAGGCTCACACAGCTGACATGGCGACAAGGGGCTATGCCGAAGAGGTGAGCTGTGGCAGACACATGCACCATCTTTGCTGGGTTCAGCTGGACCATGCTTCCGAAGTGCAAGTCCCAGGGTCACCATAATTCGGTCACCGGAGTTGGGCAGCACGAGTCTGATTTTTTCGATACAACCGCTGCACATTCACACCGGTGCCGATCTCTGTTTTGCAGTCAAAAGCACCAATGCGGATGCTGCACCCGCCAAAAGCAGAAACCCGTTTTGCAAAGGCAGGCCTTCGCATCCAGGTCTCGGTCCGCTCATGCTTTTTCACGAGGACAAAAAAAAGGTCCCTTGCCAATAACGACTTGCACAGACTGTAACGACAAGTCGAGCATCCTGTTCCGGAAACTGGACTGCAAGAGGCGTTGCAGAGGCACGCATCACACTCTCGCCTGCAAGTCATTCGCGGGAAGGAGCTAATGTGAAATTCCGCAACCTGCAGAGGGGGGGAGGACGACTTGTTGATGGGATTGCTTGGCACTCGCTTGCCTTCACCTCGTATCCTGGTGCGTGGAACCAGTCACGGGTTGGAACCCATCATGCGCCATGGAGCAGAGAGCTGAGCTTGCCAATCCATTGCCCCCAGGCTCCCCACATCCGAGGAAACGCGCGATGGGCGCAGAGTGGAGCCAGGGAGATCATGGCCAATCAGAAAGGTCAAAAGAACCTAGCCCTGAAGGAGGTCAGTCAAATCTTCAAGCAAGATCATCTTAAGCCTTGGACGTGTACATAGGGAGAGGGGCCATTTGAGATTTCCCAGATTGTTTTTTTAGTTGAAGAGGCGTTTCAGGTTCAAGTCCATTAAGACGAGTGTCCAGACATGACGTCAGCGGCATATGATGTGCTGATCATTGCTATTCACAGGTGGCCCGCAAATATGCCGACGAAGTCGTTCGAGCCAGCACGGAGAAGGCCTGGCAATGTTCCGCAAACTCACTTGCGGGTTCGTTGCGATTTGAGGAAGAGATCGATGCACTGCGCCGAGACTTCATTGAGGTCTCCTCAGCAGAAGAAGGGCAGAGCACTTTTCATTCGCTGTGCCTCGCTCGTTGCTCACTGTAGCAGGATATCCAAAGCACCCCTCGGATGGCAGATGTACTTGCCAGGAACAAGAGCGCATTCGAGCCAACGTACGTCAGCAGCAGAACAACAGGCCACACATAATGCTTGCTTGTCCAGGACCTCTAGGATGTTCAATACCGGAAGCAAGTGTGCGGCTCACCAACCCCTTTGGCCAAAGCAGGGGGGTCGATGGCTGACATAGTCGCAGAATAGAAGCGCAGGCGGGACCTGAACGCAGCGATTGAAGAGCTCAATGACTTGCGCGCGGTGTCCTTGGCTGCGCTGCACTAAACGCATATTTCCCATGTCCCAAGCTGCCCTGCCAGGCTAAATCCGTCAAAGTGGATAAGTCACGTCCCAAGATCTGCGTGCCGGAGATGCTACTTTGAATCAGCAAAAGGAATGTGTAGAATGCGAACTTAACGGTTCCGGCTGCACGGTCACAGGCGGTGCAATTCTCTGGAGGAAGGCATCTCCTCCCTGAAGAAGCAGGAGGCAAGGCAACAGCATTATAACATTCTGAAGCTGTTCATTGTTGAGTCCCCTTTTTCGAGTGAAGTTCCGTGAAGGCGGAGAATTGGGACACCATGCAGGATACCTTGAACAGCCAGGCTCACCGAGAGCAACGACACGGGTTGACATCAGACAAGCAGCAAAACGGAGAAATGAAAGTTTTCTTCAATGGCAGGCTCATACCTACGAGGATCTGAAAAACACATGCGAGGCACAGTGACAATTTTTGTGAGGCAGGAACCCTCAGGTCTCAGCGGTCTACAGCTTTGCAGGCTCTGCGCTTGGAGCTCAATGAGCACGCGGAAAAGCAGCAGACGGAAGGGGAGAGGCGGGTAGGCAGAGGGCTTCAAATGATGCTGGGCTTCGCATCGCCTTGGCGGCATTGGCATGGCCGCAGCCATTGAAGCCACTAGGTCTGACGAACAAGGAAAGGCTTCAATATGACAATAACACATGTAGGAGCACTAAAGGGAGTGGCGCATGCACTTTGTTTAAAGGGGCCCGTAGCTGGAGTGCAGTATGCGATCTTCAGAGGCACGAGCAGGGCAGGGTTGGGCGTAGTAAGCTATGGCCGGCATCAAGCGGTGCTTCCGAAACGCTGGACAGATATACTTTGGCGAGGCCTGGCAAGGGTTGCCTTTGCACCAGAGTCCTTCAACTGCACTTTGAGATGCATTGTGATACGCAGGTGGAAGAGTTGGAAGATGGCACGTGCTTGAGGCACGGCCTCGGGCTCCAGCTGTTCACAGCTCGCCCGCCTCGAGCAGAGGGCGAAGAGGAGACAATCGTCTACGGCCGCTACCAAGGCGCTTGGAAGAAAGGACGGATCACAGGTAGCGGAACCTACCACTGGAGCGATGGCACCGTCTACGAAGGATACTTCCAGGATGGCTGCCCACATGGCTACGGGCGCATTAGGTGGCCAGAGGGCACGGTCTATGATGGAGACTGGAATGGTGGCGAGATGCATGGACAGGGCACCTACATATGCGGCTTCCAAAATCTTGAGAGTCATGGGATTTTTTGGCGCAATTGCTTACGAAACCATGCAGGGCAGTGGGTGAGCAAAGTGCAGGAAAGGGAGGACCTCAGACAGCAGCATCTCAGGATTAATGCCTATCCTAGCACAGGCTATGTCATTCCCGTGGTCCGTTGCGGTGGAAAGGATATCCTGTCCAAAGCCATCCAGATGTCGCAAGAGCCCCCATACCTTGTGCCATTTTTAGTGGCCACTCAGTCCTTTGACGGAGGGCCGGATGCGTCCCTGACCTCCCCACCGCCCCTGTGCTGTGCAGAAACTGAGACAGGCTCTGCTTTGGGCTCTACCTTCCAGACATCCATACACATTGCGCATGTGGCAGTCGAAAAGCGGAGGATGAGACATACAGATCCCCTCTTCCAGAAAGCAATTCAGACTGCACTCCTCGAGCGAAGGCCATTTTCTCTAATTTGGGGTGAGGATGACAAACCCCAAGCACTCTACGACCATCAACTCGAGATTCCCACGGACATTTGGGACCTCGAGAATGCCCAGGCTGTTCCTCAGGACTGGTCGCTGAACTACTTCTTTGACAAGCTGGTGCAGCTTGACCTGCACAGCTTGAGAAGAGCCCGAAGTGTTTCCATGATGTTGCTACCCTAGAAGTATTAAGGTTGCCAACAGACATCTTCGACCCGCCTCACTTCCAAAGCAGCGGCCTAGCGGATGCCTTCCTTCCAGAGTCAGAGCAGCAGCGCATCTTTTCTCGGGATGCATGCTGGCTAAAGGAGGAGGGGAAGGCAAGGCTTTTCTCACCTGTGCTTTGTTGAGCTTTGCATTCAAAGTCACATTGCTTCGGAGGAGCCAGCACATCCGGAAATGCAACCACCACCAGTTCTACACGCGCTGCGCATTCTGCTCATGTCGCTCAAGAAGCGTCTCTGCTGCAAGCACCATGGGACCTGTCCTTGTGATTGGCATGTTGGAAGCCATGGAAGGATCCCGGACGCAGCTGCCGATGAGTCGATCAGGAAACACATGTTCAGCCGGTTCGGAGCAGCCGTGCCGCTGCATCGCATCGCTGTTCTTGTCGCTTCATAGTTTCTCCCGCGCTTGAAAGGGTTACTTATGGTCTCACTACTCGAGTAGTCGCCAGCTGCCGAAGACCGGCGCGCAGAATTCAAGTGAGTTTCTCAAGGCATGTCAAAAGTCTTGTGCCTGCACTGGGGTGGACCGGAACTTGACGCAGGCTTCGTGATCAATCGACGCGCCAGTACCTGGAGCAGCTTGCACGGGCCTCGCAGCGCTGCAACGCGAAGAAGCGAAGAAGTTTCAGAGCTTGGAAGGACAAAGCCCTGGAGCTGCAGGGAAAACTCAACAAACTGCAGTGCGGCTCTAAGACTTCCCTAGACTCGAAGACCCTCCGCCATCAGCTAGCTCAGGCTGAGTCATCAGGAGCTCGACGCAACTGTAAAGACCCATTTTCCAGGCATCACTTCGGCTGCAACATTTGGGTGATGTGATCAAACTTCAGGCCTCAACAGGCTTCAGCTAGACTAAATCAGTTCGTTGTTGTTTAGCAGCTAGCAGCCCTAAGGGAGCTTCATGGAAACTCGGCATGGAGGCTCACTGCCGACTGCAAGCCAACGCAGCATGTGATTTCGCATGCTGGCACAATTTTAGAAAACGCCATGGCACATGGCAAAGCCATGATGCTTTCATGAGTGGCTCTTATAGCTTGCATTGTCAATGGGTCCAACGAAGTTGTGCACCCGTTGGCAATGGACTTTTGGAGAGTGTACCACTGCAAGGTCTCCACGTCACGTCGTGGCGTGGCACGTAGCACACCTTTGGTTCGCTTGGTCCTGAGCCGTGCCCGGAGCCGCCGCCGCCTCGCCCTCCAAAAAAAGCGAGAGAAGGCCCACGGGCCTGGCACTGGCCTCCTCTTCATTTTGACGCCTCGTCTCGGCTCGAGAGCAAGCGAGGATTACTTGATCGAGAGGAAAAGCGACCGGATTGCTTCCATGAGCCATGGCCCGCTGGCAAGGTTTCCTGGGACCACGCCTGGGCAATGAACTGGTGGAGACTTGGCCTAGCCATCGCTTCAGTTTACTTTCCAGCTCAGAAGGGTTCAATGACCGATGGATGCCAGACCGTTTGCGGTCTGTGCCCTCACCCAGGTAGGTAGGGGTAGTCTTCATCAAAAGAGCAGAAGCATCGCACAATTTCTGTCTGCTACACGAGCCAGTCTAGGGCATTCTTAATGCACTAGGAAGGTCAAATCAATGGAAATTGAATCCTAATTATTTGGAACAGCAATGGACAGTTGCACGGAGTGCACAGGGCGCCGAGCATGGACCCATGGCAGATACAAGTAAGGCAGCAAGGACAAGTGTAAGAGCGAAGTGCAAATTACTTTTTTGAGGATGGCGCAGCGCCTTCAGGCCATGCTCCGCGCCAGAACCTCAGAATGCAAAAAGTAGATGCGGTTTACAAAACATGTTTGTGGATCCGCCGCCCAAGGTCCAAACACTGATGGCCAGGCTTGGCTTTAGATGCTTTACATGAAGAATGCAAATCCAGAACACGGAAGCTGCGGCAGGTGGCTTCGACAGCTAGGCATGCAGACACTTTGCAGGAACGGTTTCTCCTGTCACAATTACTCTTGGCAAGAAATTGCTCCGAAAGATACTTACGATGGACAGGCACAGCCCAATGGCCACGTGAGGTCCGTGCCGTCAAAAGCACTGGAAGCTATGGGTTGCAAAGATTGTGGCAGGTCTTTGGTGCGAGAGGCAGCACAGACCGTGGCAGCCTCCGTCCCGCATGGAGCTCAGCAACATGTCTGCAGAAAGCGGACAGCGTCATTTCACCTTACTTCCACAAGAGATGCGAATATCTTTCACTGTAGCCTCTCAGGCCCAGGCCTTCTCAAACACCAGTGCAGCTCATCATTCAGCCACTCTGAAGGCATTGAGATGCTCAGCTTAGCAGCTGCACCCGGCGGCCCTGCGTGCTGGCATGAGATTAAGGAACAGCTCGACGGTTACAACAACGCAGCAACCACAAGAGAAGCCACCGCAACCACCAAAGATGCCGCAGAACATGTGGGAATTGTCCCGGAAGGATTTGGTAGACTTTTGGACATCGCCACTGAACCGCATTTGCCTGCTGGGTTTGGCTGGCTTCCTGCTCTGGATCTACCATGACAACAGCCAGCTCCTTGACTGAAGCTTAGCATGTCTGTACCTGAGATTTTTTGACATCGTCTTGCAAAAAAGCCGCTATTCGCCCGCTATTCGCTATGCCCGGCTAGGCCCCCTGTATGGCCTGCTAATGGCCCCCGTGGAGGCACAAGTGGCGCATGTCAGAGCTGCAGCGGCGAATCGACCAAAATCCTTTCACCAAGCTGGTTGCATTGGTCACAAGCTGAGCTCTGGCAGAGCGTGGTCATCGTGAGTTCTGTGATTTCTGTCCGCTGTCAGACGAGGCGTTTGGGCCCTCTTCCTGGCCGAAGTGACTCTTCTGATGCCACTGGGCCTCATTGAGCCTTGTTTCACCACAGTGCCAACGTGATCGCTGGTTTGTGAAACAAAAAAGTCAACCGACTAGTATTGCCCTTGGCTCACTTTCTCCAGCAAATCAAGCAATGTAGCAATGAGCGGCATGCGCGGTCTGTGTCGCATGTGTCGCGTGGTTGCAAGTCTGCTCATCAGGGTCAGTGTCGGTTTGTCGGTTTGCTTGGTGCCGGTTGAATTGTGCGCGTGTCTGACGGCAACACAGACCAAGAACTCTAGGATTTGGTTGTAGCTGACGTCGCTGCGGACAGACGCACTGCCCTGTGTCTGTAGGCCACTTTGGTTCCTTCGCCTTCTTCCGTTGATGGTTTCTGCGTCAATGAACCAAGCATCGATTTTAGGTCTCTGAATTTCACAAGAACGACGCTAATCTGTGAAGGCCCGCCCGCACAAGCTCAACTGACCCGTCGGTGTCCTACCATGTCTTTTGATGTCTTCTCGTCGTGGTCCTGCCTTGGCATGCTACAGCTTCTGCTTTTTGGCCCCAGTCTATTAATTATTATACGAATCTTGGGTATCTTCTTCAGTTCCTGCGGGTTTGACATAAGCGCGATCACGACCGCAATCCCATTTCCCAGCAGACGAGTAGCTTCCAGGTTGGTGCTTTTTTTTTGCATCGGGGGGAATGCCCCAACCAAGATCTCATCCCTCTTGCCCGTCTGAGTCCCAAGCGGTTTGCTGTCATGTGCAGCTTCGCTTGGTGTATTGGGTGCAGTGACCTTGTTTGGCCAAGGCTGCATGACACGCTCAAAGAACCCTCAACACAAAGTGACGTCAGTCAGTGGCACAAGTTGCGCAATAGCTCTGAGATCCGAGCTCACCTTTGTCAGCGAGCAATCTAGTTGAATCTGCGCTCGGGGTGTCTCTAGTAGATGCCCACACCGCACTGGTGCCTCCTTAGCCCAGGACGGCTTTCAGATGTGCTACATTGGTTTGATACAGTTTGATGTCCCATTTCCAACATGCGAACTATTTTTGCAAGGGCAGCGAGACAGGCTTACCGCATTCCCAATGTCTCGAAGAAAGTTGCGCACGGCTTTCTGCTTTGCAAAGTCTGGAGGCCTTCCACATCCTCGCAGTATGGTCACCTGGAAGCCACGCTAGACCCATGCAGTGACCATGGACTCCCTTGCAGCTGGCAGGGCTTGCAAAGCGACAAACTGCGCGTGTTTGCATAGACTTTTCTGGGGGCCACCACACTTGGCAAAATGAGGGTTAGAGAACTGTGGCTGTGAGCGAGTTTATGGTAGGTGTTTCAGCGCCTTGGTGCTGTGACGCTGATGGCTCGCAGCGTAGGCATTGATTCTTTGAGAAGGCAATGAAAACATTTTGCACTCTGTCATAGGTGCACGTGGCCCAAGACTTGGGACTTTAGCTTGCGTCGTGCCAAATTTAAAGGCATGCATCCCCGCACAGCTCGCTCAACATAGTCATTGAAGCCAGCTCGACGTCACTGCAGCGACATCAACAGATTAAAGCCTTAGTGATAAGCACCCATCTGAAGCCAAGCCTCTACGCAAATTTCAGGTAGGCAGCTTCCTCCAGATATAAGCTTCACTGCAACTTACATGAGCCGCATGTAAGGAGTACCCACGTGGTAACTCTCCACATGAAAGTTCCCTTGAATTCTGAGCATGTGTCATCCTGTCAAGGGGTTCAACGCAGGATCCACCTCTCCCTTTTTGTACAGACGCTGCCATGGGGGCATCTGGGGATCCAGTGGAGGACAGCCCCGTGGATGAAAAGGACATTTGCAATCATGATTTAACCTGAGATAGAAGCCTTTCGGGGGTACACCAGGACGCCCAGGCGCAATGTGCCAAGTGTCTGTCTACACCTGAACGCGGCTTGCTCAAAGCAACGGGTTCCAAGATTTCCCTCTGGACGAAGACAACAGCAAGCCTTCCAAGCACTCTCTCAGGTTGTATTTTCTGCCTCTCTCTAGATGGAAGGCTTGGATTCTGGCTTGCTGTTTTCAGATGTGTGGGTGGCTACAATCCGCACCAGGCAATATGTGCCCCTACATCACGAGAGCTCTGCACCTGCATCAGCAAGGCCTGAGTTTTGCAAAAAGTTAAACGTTGGGTACCTGTCCCGTTGCCGTAGCGCTTTGATATCCTGCCTTACGTCCTGCCTTATGAACTTCCCATCCTTTCACGCAGGCTACCGTACAGCACCGCCCTCGCATCGCACGCGGCCTGTGCCAAGTGCTGGGCTGATTGGGAGGCAACCTGCAAGGAAGGCTTGCAAGAATAGTGTCTGCACATTGCTTGCACATTGGCACACAGGAGCATCTCCCTGATGCACACAAGCAGCTGGGACTTGAACTACCCTCTTCGGTTCTCCTGCACTTAGGGGAGTTGCAAAACCTGAGTCGGACAGTCAGGTGCCCACAGTGCCCGGTTTGTCAGCGGGCCATCGACATTGGCCAAGGTTATGCGGACCAGGCCAAAGGGCCAAAGTTGGATTGCAAACCGTGCCTTTCAAGAAGAAGTTTTCGCAACTTGAAGTACAAGAAGAGAAGGTTTCCTGCTTTGCCAGGCTCATTGCCAGCCATGCTTGGAGGCGGCCGATCCCGGTCGAGGTAGTTGGGGTACTGAATTGGGGTGAAGCTGCTTGGCAGGACTTGCTGGCGGAGGTGCGACTACGACGCCAACAGCCCAGAAAGGACAATTCTGAAAAGAGAGGGCACCCATTGGAAGCAGCTGGTACTTTCTCGGATGAGGAGACGAAGAGGGCTTGCAGATGCTGTTGGTTTGCTGCTTATGTTTCAATGGTCTCGTCCATGTCTGTTGACAACCCTTTTGCCAACTTTTCACCCCAGGCTTTGGGCTTTATTGCCCGCATCGGCCTCAGGTTGTTTTGGCCAATTCCATTACTCCATCCAACCCCAGCTCAGCTCGCAGCTCACAAGGTCGTTCTACTGATCGCCGTGTTCAACGTGGCTTTTTCCGTGGTGCTCGACCTTACTGGGCGCTGGATGGCCAAGGAGAGCTTTTGCTGCTGAGTTTGAAGACATGTAGAGATTGCAGCAAGGAGCTGGAGCAACATCCGGCTCTGCTGCGGCAGCACTTGCCCCCAGGTAGGGAAGTTTTCCAACAGGTAACCTGTCGCTTGTAACAAGTGTTGACATGCAGTAGGTTGTAGTGTGCCACTGCATTTTTGCACTCACGGTCAGCATTGCTGTTGGACATTGAAGCCCGGTGACGACCACAGGCGCTGCAACACTGCTTTGCACGGAGGATGCGAGGGACCTTCTCGAGGCATGCAAATTGGGGACGGTAGCAGGTGAACAGTCTCAGACACAAAGATCAACTGTAGGAACGTGAAGGTCAGTAGCACTACTGAATCACTCCTGAAGAAGAAGAACTCACCGCAGTCTCGATTCGGCAGCATGGCTAAGCTATGCTTTCAGAGACTCTTCTCTCTGGGTAACCAAGCATGGGGCTTGAATGCGCAGCAAGGGCATGACGCAATTGCTGCATGTTCAGCGCCTACACCTCCTGCCCTCCGCTTGCTACAGTTTTGCTGCTTGAAGAGCCATCATGCACAAATGCAAGCCAACAACAACAAGCACTGCCCTCCCGCTGCCACTGCAATCATGAGCATCACCTAGAGTGCTTGCGTTAGTTAGTTAGCGTCTTGTCGAACACGGTGTGGTGCTGCGTGAACAATACAATGAAAGAGAGCAACAAAGGCGCACGCACAAGGAATGAACGCCCGAATGTCAGAAAAGACAGAGAAGCAAGGAGACGAAGCCAGGTTTTCCTAATGTGCAGTACCAGCATGGCACACTGGCATGTCGCAGTGCGAAAGGTACTTGCTCAGGACTCAACCTTGAGGCTGGGAAGCACATTGCAAGAAGTCAAGAAAGATGCATGCTTGACAGGCTCGTCTCCTCATTTTTACAAGAGGCTCGGATTGCAGGGCTCGCAGAATGACCAAGCTTTGAACTTTCTCGTCTAGGTAGCTGCGAGGGCATGCGAGGGGGCGAAAAAGCACCGCTCCTATGGCAAGATTACTGGCCAGCGCAGGCCTCCTAGACATGCTGCTTGCAAGTGCATGAAGGTCCCGCGTCTCAGAGGTGAACGGCGGCCGACAAGAGTTGTGAATCTGCAAGGCTAGAATTAAATTAGCGCCACTTTTGGACCTGCCAGTTTTCAGCACTTACAGCTGTGGCGCTCTTTCTGCGGCGCTTGCACAAGGCAGAAATGGTCGGCCGGAGACTCTAAGACCCTAAGCCCAGTGGCAGCAAAGGTCAAAATCACCGTGACAACTGTTGACAAGCTCTTTTGTCCTCAAAGCGAGCTTTCACAAAGTGGGAAGCTTGCAAGTCGCATTGAGCTATGTAATGGTGTGACTTAGCAATGGTTGGAAGCCGTAGCAAGAAAACCTGAAACCCAGTGCATGACTCCATTGTCGTAGCACAGCCGGAACTAGCAGCAGCCAAAAATTGTTCAGAAAGGGCTATACTTGGTTACAGTGTGGCAGTGCCATGGACCTGGCAAGCGGCAAAGGTCTGGCGACTGCCAGAGCCCTGCTGGAGAGACTTCGAGGCCTTTTCGGGGTTTAAGTCCGCATCGCATCGCTTCTCAGAAACTTTCCCACCAGCAGGCCGAGTGGAAGCTGAGGAGGCAAAGAGTGATATTTTGTTTGCGTGATTTTGCGTGCTTGCGTTCAGTTGTCTCCGCATCAATTTTAAAAATACCCGACGAGAGGCTCGCTTCCTGATCTGGCGTGTGCCCGAAGATTGGGATGGACAAGGCTTGTCGGATCGACGGGCTTGTCTGGCGGTGCCTCATCTGCACGGGACATTGCGCCACGCGTCGCACTACGCATCAGACCACTGTGTACCCAGGTGATCCTGGCAGAAGCGCTTCTGCTAAAAAGGGTGGCTGCTCTGCCTGTGTTTACTCTCACCGGTTGGCACAACAACGGGAAATCTCGGGCATCGGACCTCATGGAGTACCTCTCACTCAAGCACATTCCTGTCCGCACAATTCCAATGGAAGGCGCGCGGACGCATCAGCTAAATGCTTTCCAAACCTCCTGAAGAAGTTTCTGCCCTGACATGTAAGGCTTGCCTTCAAAAGTGTGGGCAGACAGAATAGACGTGGAAGGCCAGCTGGACCCTTCGCAATGGAAGGATGCACCTGCAAAGGCACTGATCCGGCACAGTTCTCGAGAGGGCTTTTGGAGATCTGGAATCGAAGCATCTGTCCTGAAGCTTGCGGGTGTACTTCATGGAACCGGGATGCAGCCAACAGCCGGGCTATTTGATCCGTCGCACAGAGTGCAAGCCACAGCTACCTGGCAATCAAGACTCCGTACCCCACCCGTGTTACCCGCCACCCAACGGTCATGAGCAGAACAGGGATTTAACCCCTGACGAGGCTACCCACATCCAGCAGCGACTGGGACCAGCCTACGTCGGCGTCCATGTGAGGCGAGGTGACAAGCTCATCATTCCCGGCCTGGACGATGCCACATCGCCAGAAGCTGTCGCTGAGCGTGTCGCTCTGCTGGCCCCACCTGGCATGTGCAAAGTGCAGCCCGCTCGCAGAAGCTCTGTTGTGTGACCCCTTGCGGCAGGTAGTAAAATCACTAGGCCACGACAAAACGAGGCAAGTAGTGATTGCAGGCTAGGGGCCGTAAGCTGACCGAAGCCGAAAGAACGGGCAGCAGGTTCTGAGAAGAATGCATAGAGATGCCAAACATATGCAAAATTTACAGTTCCATGAGAGCTGGAGAGCCAACAGGACTGTCTTAACCATCAGGAGCAATTGGGCGAACATCGGAGCCCCAAGCCTTGTTCACCTAGCCTTACGAACCTCTTCCTTCACACTGTGCTGAGAGGTATGTGGCTACGAATGACAAGGAAAAAGACTACAACACTGCACTTGCAAACCTGGGCTTCCAGTGCTTCAGTTTGGGATCCTGGCATCTTTGCCCTCGTGAGGATTTCCTTGACAACTTTTTGATTTATGCGGTGGAGATGAAGATTGTTGACGACGCTGCAGTTTGCATCCGAACATTTAACGACTCAATGCCCTGGTATAGGGCCAGTCTTGGCAAGCCATCACACCATTTGTTGGACAGGAGCATGCACGATTATGTTTTCGGCTTCAGTGCCTCAGGCTCTCAGTTCTCCTGGCCTGAGCCTCCTTCAACAGTGGGAATTACAGCGAGCCAAGCTGACGAAGTGAAGCATCAAGGCTGCAGCTACTGCGGTTACAACGCCATCGTGTTTGAAGGCCAAAGTTGCACGGGGCGATGGTGGGAATTGCCAGCATCAGTTTGGCCTATGGAGTCCTGCAGTGGGACCTGCAACGTTTCTATGCGGCTGTTGGAACCCGCGCTGCGGAACGTTCCAGATGTCATTTCTGTATGGACTGAGTATTTTGGGCCGTTGGCCGCATTCACTGATGCTATCTCAGAAGGACTGGCACGTAGATCCACGCTCTATGGCTTTGAGAACGTGTCCGCCAAGCATCGAAAACTGAAGACTGCTCACGTGCCCCGGCGTGGAGCCATCTTCTGCTACGTTTCGATGGGCCGGGCCACTGTAATTGATCAGGACGGTTCTTTTGTGATGATTGCTGGCCAGTACTGCGCGGTCCTGGCTCCAGCTCGATTTGAGCTCGACAGTAGTACGAGGCTTGTAGCGGTCCACACACATCCGTTTCTCCCTTTGCGAGCCATGGGGGGACCAATTGAAACAAAGGGCCGACTACGGTATGTGGATGGTTGTAGTGATACCCTGTTACTCGCACCGCCAAAGCTTTCAGATCCATGCTTAAATTTGCTCCACTTCCCACCCGGGATTCACCAAACACTGCATACCCATCCCTCTGTACGATGCGGGCTCATTGCCAGTGGAGCGGGATACTGCTTGGACGGAACCTCAAGGAAGCTGGAGCTTGAAGAAGGCATGATCTGGGCAATTCCAAAGGACACCGTCCATTCCTTCCACACTGCTGAGTCGAAGCAGGAGCTCAACGTTATTGCCTTCCATCCAGACTCAGATTGGGGCCCTGTCGATGAGGACCACCCAATGCTGAATCGTACTTGGGTGGATGGCATCAAAATTGACAACCGCACAGTCCCACATCACAGGGCTGACATGCTTCACACTGATCAGACGCTGGTGCAGCGCGTCTCACAGATGCTGAGCTCCGCAACATCAGACAGACAAGGACCCTGCAGTGCAAGAAGGACAGCAAGCTTAGAAGCAGTCCAAGTGACTTGGGAGGAGATCTCACAGCCAGTTGGGCTGTGCGCCTCGTGATTGTGAACGCAGAGTTTCAGCCCATGGAACTACTTCCCAGGGTGGCCAGAGAAGAAGTTCAGAGTGGTACGGGGCAGGGTGATTCTGCATCTTGCGTTCACCACTTAAAAAGTGGAGAAGTTAGCTCCCAAAAAGCTTTGAGTCCACCAAGGCCACCTGCAGGGCCACCGTGTCATTATGGGTTGAAAAATGTGAGGTTCTCCTTTTCCTCTCAAACTAAATCTTCCTTGTTGCGCTTCACTACTCGGCTGCTGATAGGACGTGCGGAATCTTCGTTTCTCTACGCATAGAACTTGCTTCATAATCTCCAATGCTCCTTGGCTTTTCAGGAAACGACCGACACGCCGCCTCAGTCCCGGAGCTATCTATGCCGAGCACGCGGAAAATCCGGGTGTCTCTCCCTAGACTTGAAGGATGAGGCTCCATGCTTGCCGACCTTCAAAATGACCATTTTCCCACTGGATCACTGGATCAGGCATATGCAGATGGCCCTTGCTGGAGGGCTCCGCAGGTCATGATCAAGTTCGATCCGAATTCAGGCCTTGTGAGTGTAGCAGCGCTAGGCGCAGGCAATAGCAGCTTGGGCAGCAACGCTCAGGCCGTCGAGCACAAAGATGAACGCAACTCTCTAGTAGCAAGGGGACTGCATGGCACAGCGTCCAAAGCATCATGCTTGCATGACCTGCAGGCGTTGAGGGCCCATGTGCGTCTACCCGAGGTAGGGACAACTCTATCTAGAATCTACTCTAGTTCTTTAGCCTCCTTGATCTTTTTCAGGCCTTAGGGGAATTGTGATTTGCTACCTGCGCGTCGGCGGCCATGGGCTACCGTGTCGGCGGGCCCTGGGGATGCTCCGGGCCCGAGGCGACCAAGAAAATCCAGGCAACACGTGCCAGGAGTTTGCTGAGAATTTTTTTTTTGTGGAGAGTAAACTCTTGAGGTGAATCGCCCAGATGAGAATCGATTTGTCACAACTTATAACAAAACATTCTGTTCTCTCCTCAGTTGCCGTATCAGAAGCAACATGGAATGCTACAATACTAGGGTCCCTTGGAAGCTGAGGCGTGTCAAAGTCCCCATCGGTCACAATTGTTAACCCTCCGAAGAAGATGCTGATGCCACAGTTGGGGAGCAACTCTGAGAGCCGAGGCTGCACTTCACTGTCAAATTGGGGGAGGTATATTGGGGGTATAGTGGGATAATGGAAAAGAAAATGGATACTACTATCATGGGCTTGGGAGAATATAGGGTAATATCACCTTGGACCCCAACGTTGACCTGGCTATATTGAATCTGAGGTATGCTTCCTTCAAGGGCGCTCCCACCCCAGCACCTCTCTTGCAAAGGATTCCTGACACGGTGCTAGGCTATACCTTCCAGACGCTGCATGTGAATAGTTCTGCAATTATTTCATGGGTTGCAACTGTAATCAGCATTGCCAGCCTGAGTCGGCAAAGGCGAATACCATCAACCCAATTGCAAGCATGACAATGTCCATGACGAAGTCTATGACAAAGTCGATCTCCAACAGTTCGCTACAACTTGCAGGCCTTGTGGGCTGCTACAGAGGATCTCTTGGGATGGTACGAACAGCCCTCAGGTCGCACGCTTTCAACAGACGCGAGGCTGAACCCGGCGTACGAGGGGCGCCTGGGATGCAATCTTTTCCACTTGCAGCCATCTCCGTAGATTTGGTGGAGGCTGCAGACTGGCACTCTGATGCTGAAGACCTTCAAGAGCCGAGCAGCCCGGACGTTTAAGCTCACAATGAAAGCACAGCAACGAATTGTTGGTGACATGAGGACATGCGACGGAAGTGCCTTGAGCTACTAGCTCGGCCTGACCTGCGAGACATTGCACAGGACACCAAGCACGTGTGAATCAGAGCTAGTCCCAAGAGAGATCTTCTGCCAAATTCAAGGATTCGTCAGCTTGGCTAGCTGTAGGTAATTGGTCGACGCCGTTCTTGCATACGAGTCCATCTAATTCTAGACAAAGCCGCAATCTCACAGTTCAGAACCATGAAGCTGGGCGCTTGCACTGCTAGCCAGTTTGTAGTTTCTGGTTATCAAACGTCCACTTAGAGCATAATCCTCCGGCCACATCATAAGCAGAAACCTGTTGAGGACCTGTTCAAACAGAGTGATGCCGACAACAGCGGCGAATTGGATTTCAATGAGGTCCAGAATATGCTGAACAGGCTGCCTCACAGACAAGACAGCAGCATTGATGCCTGGGAGGGCCACTGTGTCGAAGCACGCAGGCTGCATGACGAGATGGACCTGCCACAACCAAATCGAGATTTGGTAGCCAGCTGGCTTAACAATGCTAAGATGCGAGAAGGCTGAGGCAGGAGAAGCTAATGAGATGGCCTAAGAAGCTTCTAAGATGGCCTTCAAGATGGCCTGGGAGGCATGACAGGACCGGCGTTAAAAATGGCCATAAAGCACATATAAGATTGGTGTAAGAGATCAGATCCAACTAAGGTTGCCTGCAGTGGGCAGTTTGGGCTCTGCAGGGCGCAGCAAGTACAGCTAAGGAGTCGTTGCTCAAGCGTTTTGACACCACTGGCAAGAAGATGTTGGGCAAATATGATTTCTATGAGCACTTTGGACGCATTCGATGTGTGACAACCGTTGCAAGATCTTTCTTGGCCGCCTTCTTAAATTGCATCTTGCAGCATCTCGAGTCTCAAGCAGAGGTTGTTGGTGTCACAGCTGCGGCGAAGCGCCTTTGACCGTGGATCTGTGCTGGGCAGAGAATTCTTCCTGACAAAAGGTGGGGGCGCGGGAAAAGCTGAACCATGCACTTTACAAGCAAGCTGAACCTGCAGTGGACTGCTAGGTAAGCAGGACGTTTGGGAAGTGTATCGGCGAGAGAAGCAGCTTGGGACTGGCTCCTTTGGCACAGCCTACAAGGTGCCAGGAGCCGGCGCGTTATCCTCAACAGTTCTTTTTGCAAGTACCTAGGCCAAGCACATCAAGACAGCGGAGGAACGGGTGATCAAGGCAGTGAAGAAGAGCCGCACTGCTCTGCCCCTGGACGAGATCGAGCAGGAGATTCTGATCATGAGGCCCGGCTACACCTGTGATTGTCCAAGACTTGAGTTACAGGGTTTCACATGTTTGCACCTTCGGAGGCAGATTGACCACCCCAACATCGTCCGCCTTTTCGAATGGTACGAGGATGGTAATCGCATCTATTTGGTGCTGGACTACTTGAAAGGCGGTTCCCTGAAAGATGTGGTCCTGCAGCTGAACAAGAAGGTGGGTGGGGACTCACTGCAAGAAAGGTTAAAAGCAAGAGTGAGTTCGAAGCATTTCCAGGACGAGCGCGGACTCAAAGAAGCCTGGATCCGAGAGGTTATCCAGCAGTCTGCGGGCGGCCTGGCCTACTGCCACAACCTTCGCCTGATCCACAAAGACTTGAAAGATGAGAACATCATGTTGCTTCAGCAACCTGCCTGGCTGGGTTTGCTGGACTCTTAATCAAAGCAGTTGCTCCACTTGCTGAGGAAGGCGGCCAACTGGGAGAAGCCTCACGTGCCTTGCATTGCTAGGGGATTAGCTGGAGCAAAGTGTAGCATCAAGTCACTGAAGGTCGTCATCATTGATCTTGGGGTAGCGGAGATGTTCTCTGTGGCAGACCCCGCGGGTCGGATGATTGGCGGAACGCCAGCAACCATGGCACCGGAGGTGTCCCAGTCCACGCAGTCCCAGTCCACCTGATTTTGGTCCTGGAATTCTGTGCCATTGTGCGTGTCGGAGGTGTGGATGGGAACATTTGGTCCCAAGTGCGATGCGTGGACCTTGGCCCGTTCAGCCAGCTCTCCAAAGAGTGAAGGTTCACGCAGCGCTTCCTTCCATTCTGGTGCTCTTGGTGCTGTGCTGAGGTGTGGTCTTTGGGGTGCATCATGTACGAGCTTTGTACTGGCTCCTTGCCCTTCATGGCCACCACGCTCCAACCCAGCGCCTGGACGCGGCTTCACAAACGAGGGCCCAAGCCGCATCCTCAGAAATTTTGGAGAAACCACCAATTTTCTGAAAAAAACATTTGCGAGTCACCGACATCAGGTGGGATGAAATGAAGACCTGCGCCGACAGCAAGGCGCGGCGCTTGCAGAAGCTAGCCAGCTAACTGGATGGGCCGGATTGTGGATTTGTGTTTATCCGGTCATTTCTTCGGCTTCGTCCGCACAAGAGGATGCTGAAGAACGCAGCGTGTAGCTGGAAATGCTGGAGTCACCAGGGACGAAGCTAAAGCTATCACAGGAAATGCAACGGTAGGCGAGGACCTTAGCTCGGCACTCTGGTATCTACTCTTTCGGACCAGTTGGATTAGAGCCACGTGGAGATCCTAAATCCTTGAGGGCGAGGGACTGGAACGCAAGCTAAATGGGAGTTTAGTGGGCGTTAAGATGTTGATGCGATGATGGCGAGCAACTGCTTGTGGTGATGTTGCTGGTGGTCCAGCTGTTGGTGTCAAAGGGCTGTGGTGAGGGCTATGGAGATTGTGCTGTCGCGATGCGATGATGGTGGTGATGAAGGTGGATTGAGGTGGCCACAATGATGGTTTTTTGTGCAGTGATTGTTGTGGAAATGGTGATGGTGTCGTTGGTGGTGACGGTACTCCTGATGGCTCGGGCAGTGATGTTTCTGCTGGTGGGGTAGGTGATGGGGATGCTGCTATCATTGGTCATGGTGGTAATTCTGAGGGTGGTCTTCATGTTAGGTGATGCTGATGTCATTGGTACTGGTGCCGTGGTTTCATCAGAACACACAGCAACCAACAGTATCCTCACGGGCCCGGCCCCAATTCTCCCCTTAAGGAAACACAAACATCTGCGGCATCTTTTGTGTGGGCCTGATCGCCACGCGATCAAAAGCTGAGACTAACTTAGCGATAGAGATGAAATATGATGACATGTCACTTTGGTAAGGGCTTCCTGGTCTTGCCGTGAAGTGACTGGCACTAGGTGATCATGCCAGTGCGTCGTAGTTCTTGCATCTTTTTGCTGGGCGCCGTTCACGCCAGGTGCTCTGCAAGGCCATGCTTCAGTATGACGAAGCTCAGAGACCTTCCATGGCGCAAGTTCTCCAGCTCTCAGGCATGCATCTAGAACCATCATGTTGTAGGGTAGCAACCTGTCACCAAGGTTTCCTTACTTCGGGACCCTTGGCGGCAGCAGCGGCAGCATGCAACCCGCATTCAGCGACTGAAAATTGTGAATGCTGGGGCCATCATTTCACACTGCTCTTTTTGACCAGTAGTTTGCAAAGTGGCTGAATTGACTTGCCAACTCTTGAGTTTCAAGCAAAGCGCGGGTCGGACCAGTGATGGGCCATAGGAATCGACCCTCTGACAAGACAATCTTGGTGGATTGTGATCACGTTATGCTGGTGGGCCGTGCAAGCACACCAGCACTCGGCAAACGCGTAATAGCATTTCGCTTGCCTGCGCGGTGTCGCCTCAAGAATTTGGAAATAGCTTGGAGGATTATTATACAAATAGCTTGCATGGTCGTTTCGTTGGCACCTGGCGTGCTCAAACTCCGGACTTGGTAGGCGTTGCATCCTCCTAAATCGACGATGGGGCAGGTCACGTACCATACCCCTCACGAAATGTCCCTGTGGCGATCCACAGAAGACCCCTGTAGACCCTCATGTCGCCGCAACAGACATGAAGCTCTGTACCATGGGCTCTGGTGAGTCTCGTCCTCAATGTTTGAATTGTTGCTTTCGCCGGTTCCCGTTTTTGCAGCTGCTGGTTCTGAAATTCCATTCTCTTATTTCGAATATTGCTCTTGGCTCACGATATGAGCTTCACGCTTGCAATATTCGTCTTTTGTTTCCGATGTCGGGTTCTGGGGTTCAAGAGGTTCATGCCTGAGACGGCAGTGCTGCGTTTGTCGTCTTTATTTGTTCACCTCATGTAAAACTTTCTCAGGGGGCCGTGGGGAGAACCAACAATCGGGACAACGTATGCAGCCAAGTAGCCCACACTTCCGTACTGATTGGGATCTTGTGGTTGCTCCTTACTCTCTGGTGACAGGGACGAGATGCCCATAGTTTTGCTGAACTTCTGTGGAGCTATGGAAGTCGCAGCTGGCGAATCATTTGTGATCACATTGTCTGTAGGAGCGGGATCTCGCAGCCATTTCTTGTAAGGCAACAAGTGTAAGAATATGCAAATCAGGATAGCGTCTCACGAGCTGAAGTTCGTGCCACCAGAGAAGTTCGCCAGCTTTCTCAATGCCCACAAGATGCACCGGGCAAGGCCCCTGCAGGGTGAAGAATTTGCACAGGCTTTTTGTGAGGCTGGGAGAAAACAGATGAGAGCAGGGAAACCTGGCACGAGGCAAGGGCTCCTGCTCGAGATTGCGGCACGCTTGCCTTTTAGACGCGCCGGAGAAATTATCCGTATGTCACTGAGCAAAGATTCATGCTGGCCACTTTCGGGAGCACTTGTGCATGCAATGCACAGCACAACGATGAGCCAAGGTTTTCTGAAGTGGATGAAGACAAGACTGGTACAATCACACTTGACGAGCTACTGGCATACTTTACGAAAGTCGGGATCCATGACGAGGTGCTGGAATTCCTGCAGAATGAATGAACACACTATTGTTCCTGATTGGAGGACTTGGAGAAGACATTTGAGGCCTTGGACGTGCCAAGTCTCCAATGCAGATCAGCTGTGGAAGCCGCATTGAAATTTAGCCTGAACTGGTCTTTGGGTTTGAAGCTGAGGTCGATAAAGATGGTCTTCTTTCCTTCAGCGAGTTTGCAGCAGGGGCGCTGCTTTTGTACCAAGACGCATTGGAAGACGAGCTTCACATGCTGTTTGAGACTTGCGACAAGGACGGGGATATCAGAGAGTCATGTATTGCCACCTGCATTCAATGTCGCAACTGCACGCTCTCACAGCTCTCCCAGGACAACGACGGCATGCTCAACAGCCAGGAGGCAGCAGCGCAGCAGCCATTGCACGCATCCATTCATTCAGGGCTGCACAGATGCGCGTGCAGGCTGAAACCTTCCTCAGTAGCGTTCGGGCAGCGACGGACCTGGGTGGCCGAGTGTCTTCAAGGACGGAGGCAGCGGCTGTTGGACGGATGACATACATTGCACCAAATAGTTTCTCCAGTTTCAATTGCTTCTCCAGCTGCTAGACTGGAGTCAAGGGCCTTTCAAGACCAGACTAGAGTGCACCTCCTGGATAAGAAATGGGTCCGCCAGGCTTAGGGTGCCCTTCATTTCTTAGTCAGGCAGCGATTTCATGCTGCCTGTGAACAGATGTGCAGTCACAGCGTGGTCCTGAGCACTATGTGCCAGGCGATGTACGATGTATGTGCATGGCCTACGGCCTGCACCTGAAGCGGCGTAGGTAGTTGCTCAGCGTTTGTATGTTTATGCCGCCAAGACCTCACATGCTTCGCACTCTGTCTGGCTCAAGTGTGATATAGCTACATGAGACTATCCACCATAGCATTGCTTGTCCTCGCATCAGCAATCGTACCGAAACGCTGGCAGCAAAAGAGTGCAGCTGTGCTGGGATTACTGGGTAAGGGTTGAAGTACGATTTAACCTCGACGCAGGTTATCAGCCGTAGCCTCGAGCTACGGGACCAACGGCAATTACAGCAAAGCAAAGCCAACGATGGATTCGAACGACTCAAATGCAAATACAACCATCACCCTTGGCGAGGCTGCAGCTCCCGCCAACACGACGTCGGAAGACAAGCATCTCACAGCGTCGTCCTCGTCGGATGGAAAGGGAAAGAAATCTGCAGAGAAGAGACGTCAAGAATTGGTTCGCAGACAAGAAATTCGTAAAGAATCTCGATCGCGTCCTAGCAACTCCAGTGGTTCGCAGCGGAACATTGGGGCACCATCTTCGAGTGCAACAAGTGCCAATCGCAAAGTCATCTCTGAGGCCACCAAGAAGAAATCCGGTGAATCTACCCCTCCGTCTTGTAGTCTCCTAGGGGAGGCCCAGGCACACCTACGCATTCTTCACGGGATGTTGCCATGGGTGCACCCTACGGATCTCCCACGAGAGATTTGCCCCACGGGCGGTCTCCGGACATCGACTCCCGGACCATCGAGGAGCTAAAGGCCAAATTGTCCGAGATGGCTTTGAGGGGGCGACCATGCGGATTATTGAACTGGAAAAGGAAAGAGATTGCGCACTGGCGCTGGTTCAGCACGTCCACGAAAGACAGACATCAGTCTGAAGCTCAACAACTCGAATTGAGGCAACAGCTATATGAGAGACACATCCAAGCGAGTGAGAATGAGATTCGTCAGCAACAAGCGCACGCATTGGCCTTGAGGGATGAAGCTGCACAAGCCGTCCTACATGTTGGGCAACAGTCACAGGGTGAAATGTTTGACATGGCCAAGGAGTGTCACCGCTTAACGCAGATGATGCATCAAAAGGCAACCGGGAACGCGGCTCTGCAATCTGACCTCATGCTTGCCGAACAGCTCATGCTAGAGGCCAAAGAGGCGGTGAAGTTATCCAAAAGTCGCGAGGTATTTATTGCGGATGAAACCGCAATGAGACCAAGAAAGCGTACATCCAGGAAGAGCAACGAGCAGGGAGCTTGACACACGAATTCCAGAGATTGCGAGAGATCGCCATGGACGAGATTGTTGCCGAAGGGGACAGGTTCACAGCGTTGGAGGCTAATCAGCGTCCGGTCCTGCCGAGCCTGCGCGAAGAGATTACTCAACTCCAACATGAAGTTCATGTGCAGAGCAGTGAGCTTAGGGTCACTAGGTCCGAATTGCACGCTGCATCTGCACGTTCCTCTGAATGGGAACATGCGGGTAATTCAGTAGGATTTCCAAGCACCCGTGTGAGTCATACCCCGGTAACAAGTGTCAGTCCTTCCGGAAGCAACTCGAGAAACGGGAGCAAAATGGGTACCCCGGACAAGGGTATTGATCAGCCTGTACCTCCAGCGCCGCAAGGGCTGCCCGTGACCTACGGTCCGGAAAACACGACTGAGGATTTGACCCGAATGTCCACTTTTCGTGAGTTTGCCAGAGACTTATTCGGAGGTGAGTCGAAGGGCGTCATCTCTTGGGGTGGCTCAACGTATACCCTGGAGCAATCCACTCCCGTTAGCACGAGCAATTATCAGGGTCGAGCAGCCGCGCCGTCGACATCACCAGCCGCTCAGGATCAGGACCATTCACGCCTAGATCCCCCTCCAGGACTCGGAGTTCTTTCCTGAAGCCCCTTACGTCCCCGCCAAAATCCAAGTGAAGACGACGGGGAAACCGCCTGTGGTGAAGTTTTGCAACAAGGACGGGAAAGCAATGTACACTTATGATGCTGCTAAACATCTTGATGACGCTCGAGGAGGTGTCCTGACGTCATCGCTGGATCCATGCTTCGCGGCTGAGATCACCGTTTGGGGGGCTGATCCTTCTCGCCCTACGTGGATGCTGCTAGGAGTCGATGAAGACAGCTGGCGGAACAAATTTGTGCCGGACAATGTCCAAACAGTATGTTCAGGGTCGAGGTTGCTGGGTCTTGAAATGAAATACTTTTTGGCCGTCATGAACCGGTACATTTCCAAGCCAACGGACCTTGTGAACGTCGCGGCAGGAATTTTGGCTCGAGGCATGTCCCCAGTGTCGAATCACCCAAGTACCCCTACGGGGACATCAGTGTGCGAGCGGGGAAGCTTGCTAAGAGCGGCCATCGCGTGATATTCGAGGTTCCTGAAGGTACATGCATAAGAATGTCTGAACACTACACTCACCTGGTTTCCGGCAAAGGGTGTCAACCTGTAGTCATTGACTGCTGCTGCTTCGGTCACCGCATCGCAACCGTCCCCAGTGCCACCGACATTCCATCAAAGTGGGCACTGTTCGCATGGGGGGGGTGATTTGGGCACGCTCGGTAGAGCGTACAATGGCAAACATCTGCACGCCAATGCTGATCAGATCAAAAGAAACGAGAGGATCGTGAAGAGAACCAGCAAGATGGCTCGCAAGCTCCTGCAGTGTATTGTAGGTTCCAAACATGAGACAACTTCCTCGACGGCACTTGTCACTACCACAGGAGGCAAGGTGGACTCCATCGATCGACTGACGGTCGAGTACTGCTGTTCCTCCAACAGCAAGCTCGGCAAGTCCACTAAGGCCAGTAAGGCATGTAAGACCACGCGCGTGCACGAACATATCAAGTCTAACTCGAAGGAATGCGAAGAAATGGTGGGGGAGGAATTGAAGAAAGTTCGTCGGGATTGCCCTCCTGCTGAAGTCCTAGTGTCTGCGGCGCTTCCCTGCACGGGGGATCGAACTGGCAGTATGTCAACGAGGCGGACGGTCCCAACGAGAAGGTAAGGGAGAGCAAGAAAACGTTTCGGAGGTTGCTTGCGGATTACACACCTTTCCTTGCTTTTGAATTGCCCTAAAACGTGCGCGTATTGGAAATGGCCTGAAGTGCAATCGCTTGTCAAACAGTACAGCCTGGTCAAGTTTCGAGTGGATGGATGTGCTGTAGATGTTGTTGACCATGCAGGGGCACCGCTGTTACAATCGTGGTGTGTTGCGTCTAACGTGGTCTGCGTGAGCATTGTTGAAAGGCACCTGTGTGATGGCAAGCATGAGCATGGTATGGCTAGAGGCAAAGCATTGAGTGAAGCTGAGAATTACACTCCTCTCTTTGCAAGTACCACACATGAAGCCTGGAGAGATGAGTGCATGTCCCGCAGGTGGCTCAAACAAGCAAAGAGACATAGGCGCACTGGCATTCCTATTGCGTTACCTTGTGTCTGTGTTGACTTGGTGCCCCCTAAAATGTTGTTGCAAACCACGCGTTTGACCTACGGTCGGCGCGTTGGAAATAAACAGCAAAGTAGTCGCTCTTGCCCGGATGTGAGAGTGGACTACGTCCCTCGAACCGAAGGGCGCGCCATGTCCGGTGGATGGACTCCCTGGGAAGACTCCTGGGACGATGCTCTGCCTTCACGAACTACCCCGACGGCGCCGCCGAATCCGCCTCCTCGCATCCCTTGCGCACAGCCGGCGGCGTATATACTCTGCTGCAGCCAGAAGTGCTGACGTTCGAAGAATGTCGCGGTGGAGTGATCCCTGACGATGCGCTCAAGGAGATCAGGCGTGTAAATGGCGTACTCGCTCGACTACGTGAAGCGCAAGAGTCTCTACCTCCCAAGATCAAGCGTGGGATCGCCGCATCGAACACGCAAGTCATGCGTTGGGCCAAGGCGGGCGGCTGCTTTGACCGCTGCATGTAGCCCGCGTCACAACAAGAGTACTCGTCCTCGTGAGATGCTCAGGGCCGTGGCGCACGCACTCAAAGATCCTGCGTGGCATCAGAGCTACAAAGATTTGGTCGATCATATTCGGAGGGCCTCGTCGTGTCTCGCGAGGATTCATCGCGAACTTCAACAGTATTCCTCCAACGTCCTCTTCGACTTGGTGGACATTGAAGTCCTCAAGGACGTGAACCTGATGGCGGACACGTTCGAGGAAGACGCGCGAGACTACAAGGTTAATTTGGAGGCCTCCTCGTATGACGTTGTGAGCAACACCGATTACTTCAATCCTGTCCTCGTGCGCCAACCTATTCCTCCTCCTACGGGCTTCATCCACTCTACCAGGTACAGGCATGGTACGAAGCACAGCAAGTTTACTGTGAGAGCACCCCTGGGGCAATGAAGCTAGGTTGGAATGGTCTTGTCCTCCTGCGGAACATGGCGGAGAACTTTTGCAGCCACATGGCCTACGGTCTGCGGACGCACAATTGTGACAACCCCAACCACCAGCTCACAGTCATTGACCTCATCGTGGTGGTTCAACGTCATCCGGATGACTTGGACGCGCCCCTCGCGTACGCAGTCAATTGTTTTCAAGCTCTAAATGTTTGTGCAGCACCTGGCGGCTGTACCTGATTGAGTACTCCTACGAATGGCCTCCTCAGGAAGATCTCAAAGCCATTATCGAGGAGCTCTTGAAGCTCTTGGGGCAGATCTCAGGTCCGCCGTCCGCTGGGGCAGGACTTCCTTCTACCATTGCAGTGGCCTAACACAACCAACTCAGGATTCAGAGCGGGCTGTTAGCCGATAACTCCTGGATGAACAAAGCGTTTGAGCTTTGGAACCAATCGATCGAAGACATGGGTGAAGACA